TAAGAAATCAAATGACTTAAATACTTCATAGTATTTAATAACAGTAAGAACTTCAAATACCAAGACGATCTTTAAAGCAGGTATAAGTACACTATGACAGAACAGAATCAAATCAAAATCGTTTTCCTTTTGACAGTAAAGATAGCCTGCATAATTGGAGAAGTACTGTAATGATTTCTGGGAAGAATAAAAATCTGGCGTTAGAAAGTGATAGATGGAGTTCAGAGAGGGGGAAAAAGAAAGAAAATATCCATATTAGTCATTGTTACAAAGTTGAAGTTGACTGAATCTGGCAGTGCTGAAAAAAATGCATGCATAGACAAGTACTTCTTCAGTGTCAGTAGTCAGACATCTTCCATGGTTCTGCCTTCCAAAAAGGTGCAGTGCTCCAAGGAATCTAAGACCTTCTTTTCATAGGTAGAACCATAGAGAAATTTAAGAGAATGAGTAAGTTAGACACATTATTCATATGCTGTGGATCAAAGCTGGGAGGTGGAGCAAGCAAGAATCAGTTCAACCTCAAGATGCAACTCTGAGTCTTAGACACACTTTCTGAAATATCCAGAAGGAAGTCTTGAAAACTGTGCTTTCTTTATATTAATAAGTATCTCCATTTAGGTCTGCACACAGAGGAGGTAGCAGATTCTTCTACTGTTACTCCTTCTCCTTTGTACTGCTTTCCCTCACTGCTGTGGATCTATGGATTCTGAGTCTCCATTTTAGGAAATGGGGATGGGCAAAGGGCTAAGAAAGGAGATACCAAGTTATGGCTCTGTCATAATTGAGTTTCAGTCTGACCAATTCTTTGATCCTCCAAATCCAATAAATTTTGCCAAGTTTCAGTTATTCATTCAGGAGATAGTGGGGTGTTGAAACACTGGAATCTTACTGGAGCGTTATAATGCAGATTCTTCATTTTTGGAGCTCAGAAGACACATAAAGATCTTCTTTTGCTTTCCAACACTATGTGACCTTCCCAAATGTATGATCAAACTGTGAAAATCAATCTCATTGTAGTTGGAGTAAATGGAGACATGCTGGGCTCATTGACTATTTTTCTCTTCCAAAGCTGTTTCCAAACATTTGGAAGGAAAAGAGAGAAACTGTTTGCTTATTAGAGAGTAGAAAACCAAACAATATCATGATCCTCAAACCCCTCTGGCAAAGGATTAGCTCTGCTACATGACAGAGAAATGACAAGTGAAAAAATTTTGATTTATTCATTCTTAGCTGATAAGATTGCTTCAGTGTGGCCTGGAGTAGTGATAATGCATGAGATGACAGAAATAGCTGAGGCAAGAATTGGTACCCATATGCTTGTGTTTTTTCTCAGTTCTGTACAAGGACAGGTCCACTGAGACACAGACTGTGCACATGATTTAAAGGAGGAAATTTTTCCTGTAACTTCCAGAATTGCTTACAACTTAGTTCTGAAAATAATCTAAAAAAAAAAGAAAACAATCTGTTTCCTTAGCATTATTAGCTGTTCAGGCCTTAATTTCTAACTAACATTTAAACTCACTGAATGATCTCTCCTGCAAGAGAAGATGGTAATCCCTTATGATAAAATATGTATGGCAATCATCTTTTTGATGTGTATCTCCACTAGATGCTTCTGAACATGGCATAAAACCACCATCACTCAAGAAAATAGTGCTCTATAGATCTTCCAGATACAAAAGTAGACAAGTAAATCACAAAAAACCTGTCTGCACAAATGACAACTTTGTAAAGTAAAAGTAGCTGTGCAGGACAAGGTGATCAGATTTCTTGCATCATATGCAAAGTCTAAAAATGTTGCATCTAAACTTGTTTCCCCTTCAAGTCTTCAAGCTACCAAGCCTTTTCACCTCAGTCTTTCACTGCAACAGAATCACTCTTACAAAAAATTCTAGCAGTCATCTGATTGGCCTCACTGACTCAAAATATTTGGTTGTTTCTGAGGATGACAGTAACATGGAGATTTCACTAGAAGTAGATAAAAATCAGTGAAAACTAAGGGGGCATTAAAAGAAAGAGAAGTTATGTTGGTAGACTTTCAGTTTTAGAAACTGGATGAGAATTGCATGAAGAGGGATGAACACCTTCAGACTTGTTGGAGCAGATGATATACATTGAAACACTTAAAATTTTATTTATAAACCTTCCATCTAAGCTGAGGACTTCAATACAGCAGCAGAGCAATGGCTTTTAGTGGTCTTTTCTTGCCAGTAAGATTGAAAGACATATGATTGCATAAAAGGTAATCCTTTTCCTTCCAAGCTTTATAGAGAATAGTGACATCTTCAAGCTAACCTCAAGCTAACTCTGAATTGTTACCATTAACTCAGAACTTAACATAATTGAGCACCATTTCCCCTTACATTGTTCATGGTAAGGTTGAAGATTTTCCTCAATTTTACATACATAGATTTTCCTATTTTCTTTCGTCTTTGAAATCACCTAACATCAACAGACTTTGTGAACTTATACACCCCAGAACAACCTGATTTTACTGTAAGAAGGAAGTTGGTCTTGAAAATTCTAGAGAAGCCTTACAACGTGAATTATTTTATGATTATATAATACTATATAATCAAATCAGAACATATCCATGGCCCAAAATAAAACTGTTGTCTCAAACATTTTTCTCAGTACTATTCTAAAGAAAAGTCTACAATCATAAACTCAGCCTCATGAAGTACATTTAAAGTTAATAACATTTCCTTTGAAAGCTAATGTACATTCCATTTTACGTGCAGGAAAGCAACAGCAGTGCAAGAGACATCATAGTTTATTATCAGAGAGAGTTCAAATTACAATTTTTACTGAGTCATCCAGTTTCAACTTCAGAGGGACTATAGCATCTATAAAAGCGGCTGCTTGTGGCAAACATCACCAGTACTCCCACCAGCCTCTTCCTCTTATAAAGAGAAACTAATCACACAGGATCTCCTGTCCACCTGCAAAACATTTAAAAGGGCAACTTCCTCCCCTCCGTATCAAGGAGCACATGATAGATAAGATTGGATGGAGAGGACGGAGCTTTAGAGAAGCACACTGCTTACATAGATCAATTTATCCTTGCAAAACTGGTAGAACTAGAAGCAGTAATGAATGAATACCTGTGCTCCCCTGCCAGCAAAACAGTACATGGCAAACTCACTTTTTAGGAGAAGACCCTATTTTGGTAACCATGCAGCTCCTCCACGTACTTGAGGCAACACGGTCTATTTTTATTATGCTGTCATTACCTTTTACAACTTATGGAAAGATAAATTTTGGAAAATCTAGGTATTTTCCTGCATAAAAAATACAAAGAAGATAATTAGGAGGGGCTGCTTGCATCACTGAAGGTTCTAGAGAGCACAGCATCTAGCCTACGTCAACAAATCAGTAGTGAAGCTTGTTAGAAAGCAGCTCTTATTTCACACATAGAAAGACAGGCATCATTCTATTCTACTCTCAGGAAAATTGTTTGTTGTGGCTACTAAAATAATTTTTAAACATTTATACAGAAGAATTTTTAAGTAATTAGAAAGTGAAACTTGGTGGAAGGCTTCCAGTCCATAAAAAACTTTTGAATCTATTTCCCTACAGAAGAGAAACATCCTGACTTCTGGAGGAAAGAAAATTACAAGTGCACATAAAATTAAAACATGTTGCTCCCAAAAACTTAAAGATGTTATCTACTCAATGTAGTAAACACAGACATTCTAAACTACAAGATTCAAAAAGCCCTCCAATACGTCAATGTCACCAAAACAAAGTGAGAAACTGGAAACAAATAGGACTCTTTCCATCTGAATAACTCCATCAAAATGATCATACTCTGGTGGAAACCATGTTTTCCAGTAGTACTTTTTTGCAGCTGAAACTACCAAACAGAGCCGAGCAGTCTCACAGGGGCAGAACAACCAAACATTCCAAAATGGAGACCTGGACGAAAGTTTTACCAGCAGACTGAATCCTGGTTACTATTTGAATCCTTGGTTTTATGTCCTTGGAAGGTAAGCCTAGATTTTTACAACTGTGCCTATGAAGTTTGGTGCGGGCAGACAGGGAGTAAGAAAATGAGGCATCAGTTCAACCCAGGAGACAGAGCGATTAACATAATAAAAATAATAATAATAATAATAATAATAGGAAAATATTTTGAGAACTGGGGTTACACTGCAGGCCTGTAACCCTGTTCTTAGCTACTGTTCTCTTGGTTTACTGAGATTGGTGTATTTCAGTTTACCAGAGGTTACAGGTCCCTCACAACATGAAACAAATGTCTCAGAAACTGCAAGAAATACTTTGAGCTTTCCCAAAGAAGTTCCTCTTGCTGGAACTTCAGAGAAAACAGCAGAGAAAGTTTTTCATTTCTGTTGAGGCTTTTACTTGCAAGAAGCATAGATGTCTAGCCAGATTTTTGTATGTCTCTTTCCATTTCATACCCACAACACAGGCACCTGGCTTAGCTTGTTAGAGAGCTATCATTCAATAGGCACTCATTATCTTTCCTATCGGTTCATCAGGTTTTGATCTGTTTGAATTAACCTTGAAATTCTCACTGTGTTGAGCAGGAGGCTTGGTCTAGAGACCTCATCCTGTCCCTTCTCATCTAAATGATTCCACAGTTCAATGAGGAAAATTTCTCCATAGAGTCTCAGGGCAAATCTCTTCCATTATTCTTGTCACAGGATGGAGGATATGGTGATCAAGCTTTCCTCATAAAAATAGCAAAATCTGAATTTTAGTGATTAAAGACTTCCTGTATTTAATGGAACTTCATAGTTAAACAGTACACCAAATTTTTTTTTTTCTTTTATATGAAATATAATTACATGGCCTCTAACATTAATCTGATTCCTAATGTCCTGTAAAAAAACAGTTAATACTGCAAAGGCATTCACTGAAATTAATGGCTTTAAAAGATCTGGTAATATTTGCAAAACCAAATAATTCTTCAAAATTAAACTTAAGACAGCTATGAAAATGACCACACATACAAATGAAAAAAAATCTGCACTTACAGTTCTATTGCCTTGTTCCACATGATAACATATCCAGAAAGAATGAAGGACTCAATATTTACAATGTGTGTATTTCCTCTCTCTGTTCCAACATAAAGCCATTTACTCTGGAAAGGTAGATGGCAGTAAGTAATCCTGGAAAAGATAAAAAACCAAAACAACAAAATATAAGTGACTGAATACCACAGGAACAATATTTTTGAACACTTTTTCAGCTGAAAGAATTATTCTTTCCATTTTAAAACTTGAGAAAAGGCTGCCCAGCAGGCATTCTGTAGAATATGCAGGTTCTGGGGGTCATCTCCAGGAAAATTATAAAAGAGAAGATGAAACAAAACAGGGTCATCCTGCCTGCCAATATTAAGGGCAGGACAAAAGAGAAGCATCACTTGAGCACTCAACTAAGTCTATCTATCTCCATCAGTATGTAAATTGCACTTTTGATAGTATTCAGGACTCTCAAGGAAGGCTTTCTTAGATCTTTTCTCAGAATAAGCAGATTATCCTGTCAAACAAACAAGAGTTTTGTGGACATCAGTGGGATTCATGTTTTGCACAACAGAAATATAACACCATAATTCACACAAGAAAACATTCATTTATTTGCCATCTGGAAGAGTAGGGACTTAGATAAGAGCATTTATCAAAACTGAACTACCACAGACACACTGAACTCTACACTCATTATAAAGTGGTGAAAAAGTGCTACATTAGCTTGGAAAGATGTCATGATAATTTCTCATGATAATACATAAAAGTTTTCACAGATGACAAATGAGTACTTGTTACTTTCATATTATGTTACTTTCATATTATGGTTATTATACAGAGATTACATACACTAAATCTATATGAGATGAGAAAACACTTGCTACTAAAATCTAACTGAATGCATACTACCTACAGAGACTGAAACTTAATCCAGCTTTATGGCACAGACTTGTAAATTTTGACAAAAAAAATATCAGGTATTTTGCTTGGTATGTCATATATTATTATATTTATCACTCAGTTCCACAAACAGGCTATTTCTGGTATCTACATAAAAACTTGATTTTTTTTTTTTCCTTACCACCTTCAACCACCACAAAAGTACATATAGTGTTTAAAACCATGAATATCTGAAATTTTCCTTCTTATGGTACAGCAATTTTTCTGAATTTATTATAAAGGAGTGAGAGGGGTGTTGGCAATCTTTAAGTAATTTGGCTCTCTCAGTCAAGTCAAGTCCTCTGAGCAGAGCATTTGCCACTCTTTAAGGAATTGTTCAGTAATTATACAAATTGAATATACTTTGTGTAATTGTTCCCTGTAAAGTACTCTAAACAAACAAAGAAGTTCCAAACAGATTACACACAGTATTTGCATAGTTCTGTAGTTTTCCAAGTATCTAATAAACTGTCAGTACATTTAATGCTAAATTCATTGAAGTGAGGAAAATTACTTTTTTTGTACTTACGCATCACACTGGACTGAATACAGTTGAAATATGGAGTCTTCACATTGTAATTTATGGAGAAAATTATTGTGGAACCGTGGAACCCGGAATAAGGCTTACTCTTCACAGAAATTTTGTGGTTGATTAAAGTGAGGCCTAAATATGACATAGCCTCTGCTCTGTCCAGCTGTACAGGGCTCAATTTTACCATCAGTTGTTTAATTTTGACAATAATTCTGGAGTCTTTAGTGGAAAGAGCACCAGGTTTTCCAAGAGAATTGCTTTGAGAACGGGAGCTATATTTTAGTATGCATAACTGAAAATGCCTTCAAGCAGCAACATAGTACTGATATTGTGGGTGCAGTCAGACCAACAAAGATCCAAGAGAAACAACTCCAGAAAGTATATGCCACCTACATAAATCCTTGATGGAGTTCAAGCTATGAGCTTTATTCTTCTGCTCGTAACAGGTGCAAGGAACCATTTGCCCTTTTAACATCATAGCTTCAAATGAGAAGTTGTTTTACACATTTTTCCTGATCTTTTTCCTTTAAATTGAACAACTGTATTTCTTTTGCTTTCTCTTCAGGTGTACCATTTCCTTCACTTTTGGTTAAATTCATATTTAGTCCATTCTTTTGTTGTTATTGTTTCATTTCTTGCATTTCTGTACTACCTCTACTCTTCTTTCTCGCACTGCAAGGCATATGGGTGCTTTGTTAGGTCCCAGCCCATAAAAAAACTTCTCTAGCTAATAAACCCTCTTAATCACTTCATGCTGAAGCTCACCCAACACTTGTTTGTAGTAAACTGTTAAATTACAGAAAGAGGAGACAATTTTGACTTGAAAGTGTTGAAAATGTAGCTGTCTAATGACTGACAAAAAAATTGTAAGTTCCAAAGTTGGAACTTACTAGTTCCAACTTAGAGCCCTACTTGACTTGAACGCTACTACTCCAATTTCTGGCAGTTGTGTCATCAGACTAAGCAGGTTCAAGTCCACCTAGGACAACACTATTTTTCAGTCTTCTATTAAATCCAATCACAAGCCACTATGGGGTACTGCAGAAAACTCGATCTCCCATGTGCAAGAATGAATCCAATATTAGGAATAAAGTTTCAACATCACCTCACACACTGTTTGAGGCTGCTTTGGGCTGCTTTTTGAGATTTCCTTCCACGTCATAATCTCTTGGACACACTGCCACAACAACCAGCAGACAAAGTGGGTGTCTGCATTCCCAGATATTGCACAGCCTCCATTTGCCTGCCTTAGGTTTAAAATTCCAAGAACATAATGCTTTAAGAACAAGGTCCTACAGCAAGAGAAAAAAATCAAACCAATGTAGTAACTACTAATAAGTAGCTAGGCCATAAGTTACTAGCCTTAATATCTTCCTGGCCTCTCTGAAATCCCAGATATCATTCACTACTAAGCCTGGATGCACAATATGAAGCACCAAAAGAAAATAAGGTATTGCTAAACAATGAAAAAAACCACCACAGCCATGCCTTTTTTCTTTAGCCCAGCTGCTTCGTCTTAAATAATTCCATTTTGTTCTGCCAAATTTATGGGATGGCCAGGTAAGAAAGTATCCTGCATGTTCTTTTTTCCACAAAGAAAAGTACCCTATGAGTCTTTATTGTTTACCCAAACTGTTATAAAACATTATGAAATGTCTAATTATGAAATGTGTAAATGTCATTATGAAACCTTTTATAATATATGAGCTTATAAGAAAATAGCACTCCCTTAAAGACAATCCAGATATAAAAACCCTATTAGAGCACAGGGATTACTAGGCATTTTAATACAATATATTGCTAGGCTTCACCAAACAAACCCATATGATTTCTGTATTCTCCTAAAACTCTTCACTTCTCTGAAGTAGTTTTTACATTATGTAATTTATTTAGCTTTTACATAATGTAAATTAAATTCAAACTGCTTTATATATTATTGACTTTTCACTTCTACAGAAAATATTAACTTGACTTTGAGGCTTGGAAGCTTTGAAGCAAGACTCAGATTTTTAATGAACATCTTCCATCTCAGTAAGTACTGAAATTACATAACGATTTCTTCAAGAGAAAACAATGAAGTCTCATACTGTAGTTTTCATTGTGGATGAAAGGTATTCCATTATATGACTCTATTAGTCATATATCCCACAAGCAAATTAAGATGTCTTTTGATGCCATTACAAAAATGAGTCAATAAGCCAGAAAGAAAGAAAGGCTATTTTTCTTCTTAAGGAGTTAGGGGTTGTACTGAATTATGAAGCACTTCTGACAAAGTTTAATCAGATTGTCAATCTGATTGAGATAACGTGCAACAAAATTAAATGGAAATTTGAGGATTTTCTCAATGTTGATCACTTAACAGAAAGTCAGTCAGAAATGTGGATATTATACATTCTTAGCAGCAAACCGCAACATGAATCTTATTGATCATTACAAAAAATAGCAAAAAATTGATGAATTGATACCAAAAAAGGTGTTTCTGTGCTGCCAGAACAGTCTGAAACACTGTCAAATGACAAAACAGGATATAGAATATCCTGTAGGATACAGTAATTTTTACAAAATCAAGAGGTACTAACTAAAACACTTAAATAAGAATTTAGTAAGGAAAACTATTTTGCTAAGGTCCCAAAAACATGCCTTATGTAAGTAGTTAAACATATTATTTAAATAAATTATGTAAGTAATATAAAAGATATAATGGAATAACTGAAAGAGGCATTGTCAAAACATTGAACTTTATTTTAGAAAGGAATATATTCTGACTGACAAATCTTGAAAAGGTATACTTTCCAGAAAATCACAGCACTCTACAGTCTACCAACCATGGCCAAAAACTCACTGCATATTAGTAGAATACTACAATGTTAAAATAATTTAGATTGCTATAACCTCTAAAGTATTAGCAAAAACGCTTAGATTACTTAAAAATCATCTTTATTATGTTAATTGTATTCCTGTAAGAAAAAGAAAAGATAATTTTGAGAATGCTTCTTTGTGCCTCTGCTTTGCTATTTTTGTTTTTCTATTTTTACTGTGAAAAGTTTTCCCGGAACACCATTGCTGGTGGTGAGTGGGGAGACCTGCTGAAGGGTGGAGAGTAAATTGCATTTTTGTCAAAATGAAAAACAGTTATTCCAACTAAATTATTTAGTTGCTCAATCATGGACATCAAAACAATTAAATTTACACTATGGCTTTTCCCTTTATACAGATAATCTTAAATATGAACAAGCATAGAAACTGTGTATTCCTTATTCCCAGCTGACTGTCAGAGTTCAGTTTCTCTAAGTTCCAACAGAAAGCAAACATTAGCTTGAACTCCCTTTAAGAATCCTACCAAAATAATCTACAGTGTCCAGGTTCTCAGGAAATATGGAAACCTCACAAATTTACAGGAAAAGAGGAAGATAAAACATGAAGGAGCATTAACTTGGGAGCATGAGTAGCTGACAGGAAGCAAGCCTAGTAGCTGCAAGACACACTGGCCCAGCCTTCTGCTCTTAGTGACTCCTAAGGGATGACTGCCACTGTCTTACACCCAATGTACAGTGCATTGCCCTAGCATGGATGAATTCAGCTGCTGAGAAAGTCGATCACCTCCTTAAGAAGGTTATGGCTATCAGAAGTCTACCTTTTCATTGCAATGATTATGGCTCTTTTCCTGACTCCA